TATATATATATATGTATATGTATGTACACACACGCAAACACAATACTGATGGAAAGTAACAAAGCTTGAGGAGTGATATTATCCACCTCTAAAACTCACTAAAAGGTGACAATAATATTGTCAACAGTATGATATTGACCAAAGTATAGATACATCAACAGAACAGAGTCCAGAAATAAGACTTAATAGTCAACTGACAAAAAAAGACATTACAATGGAAAAAAATGATTATTTCAACAAATGTTGCTGTAGTGATTGGGCAGTCAGACATAAAAACAGTGAGTTGCCAAAGGGGGAGATGCACACCTGCCATCCTAGCACTCGGGAGGCTGAGGCAGGAGGGTCACTGGGAGTTCAAGGTCAGCCTCAGCTACATAAGCAAGTTCAAGGCCAGCCTGCACTACATGAGAGACCCTATCTCACAAAAACAAAACAATACAACAAAACAATGAATTTACACACAGATCTCACACACTTTAAAAAACAAAAGCCACAAGGTCCCATGCATAGTGCCCAATGAGGGAGGCAGACTAGCTAAAAGAATAGCCAGTACTGGGAGCGCTCTAAAAGGACGCCACAACTCTGGTGAGTCACACAACCTCTCAAGCAGGGACACTGCTGCACCCCAGAGAACAGCAGTCAACCAGTGTACACTGTCCTAGAAGGAGGGTCATGGCCAGGTACAGCGACACACGCCTGCAATCCCAGCACTCGGCAGGCTGCCACAAGTGTGAGGTCAGCCGGGGCTATTCAGTGAGTTCAACACAGCTGAAACTGCATAGCAAGACCTGTCTCAAAATATTAAAAAAAAAAAAAAAAAAAAAAAAAACCTTCAAAAATGTAAGGAAAAAACAAAAAAAAGGAGGGCCACAAGAGAAGACGTCCCCATGCTTCCAGTGAAGCCACACGGTCCAGCACAGCCCATGATGCATCCTGGCAGCTGACACAACTAGAGGAGGGAAAAGCTGCAGGAGATGAGTCTACACACAATCGCAGCAGTAACCACTGAGCAGCCTGAACTGACCTTGACAAACACAGATTAATTTTCTTTCAATTATTATGATTAGTCCATTGTTCAGTCCATACTGCTCACACTCCTCATGAAGAGCAGGTGCACGTATCCCACACATCTCAATTCTTTCTTCCTTCCCCCATCTCCTTGCCCTCCCACTCGCAAAAGGTCAGCTCCCTACTGCCCATTATCTAGCGCTCACTTTGCTCATCTCCGTATCCTAGGTTACTCATATAAGAGAAACCATCCTATATCTAAGGTGTGTCTGATTTATTCCACTTAACATTTAACAAAGGTCTAACTCTGACTTGGTCTTATCTTCCCAGCAGGAAAGTATAACCAAAATAAAACAGAGCAATGAAAGTATTAAGTAAAAAGCTAAGCAACATATAAAAGGGGACTCCAAACACTGCATCAGTCCCTGCTGAAGTCTCAGCTGCACTTGTAACTTAGAGTCATTAAAAAGTTTTAATTTCATCCTACTCACTCTTCCAAAAATGTTTCCTTCAGCCTCTTTTAATATATTCCCATTATGTTATTCTACTGCACTTTTAAATACCCCTCAGATTAGATGTATCATCTCAATAGGTATGTTTAAAATAGAATGGCAACACAAATATTCCAGTTACTAAGCTTTGTCATCTTTGTCATATAAACTAACTTTGTATGTTTATGTAACCTAAAGCAAGTCACCATAAAACGTCTTCGTGTTTACCAAAGAGAGGCCAGAAGCGCAGGCATAAAGGTCAGCACCTGCCTGGCAAGCACAAGGTCCTGAGTGTGATTCCCAGTATCAAAAAGTTAACAGAATAAAGGCCAGAGACAAGTTCTAAGTAAACAAGAAAATGTTAATGTCCTAGAGGTCATAAAACCATAGATACTGTATGTTTATTCATTTGCCGTTGTTATAAATTAAAATAGGATATTAAATTTCTTCTATTCAAAACAAGGAGAGGGCTGGTGAGATGGCTCAGTGCTCTAAAGCACCTACTTAGAACAAGCTTAGCAAAGCACAGTGGACCGCGGTTCAATCCCCCAGCACCACATGCCAGCCAGCCCCGCCCCCTGGTGGGCTGAGCTGGCCACACACACACACACACACACACACACACACAAAAATAAATAAATTTAAAAAAAAAACAAACAAGGAGAAATCTGTGTGCTCTTAAACTCCCTCCATTATACTTGAGTATAATAGAGATCAATTTTAAGGATAAAAGGCTCATGCCAAGTGGTACTAATTTCTACCACAACAGTAGATGTATATAATAAATGTGTCCAAATCACACAATATTTGGACAGGGAGCCCTACTATAAACTGCAGCTGTGTGATGATGTTGGGTCCCAGCAGACGCACCACTGGGAAACCAACAGATCACTGAGAAACTCTTGCATCTTTTGCTCAATTATGCTCAACCTAAAACTGCTCCAAAAAGCCTATTTCTGAAGAAGAGACAATACTTTCCTTTGATGCTGAGGGTTAAATCCAGGGCCTAATGGCCCCAGAATGTATATAGTCAGTCTTTCTCCCATCCCACTCCGGAGGGACCTGAGGCCTTCTGGCCAAGTGACTGTACACTAGGGAAAAGGGAATCATCAGACATTTCAGGGACACTGGTTCTGAACTGACAGTGACTGCAGGGGATCCAAAACACCACAGCAGCCCTCCAGTAAGAGTAGGGGCCCACAGAGGTCAAGTCATCAATGGAGTTTTAGCAAAGGTCCAACTCACAGTGGGGCTAGTAGGCCCTCAAATCCACCCTGTAGTCATCTGCCGTGTTCTGGAATGTATAATTGGGATAGATATGTTTAGTACTTGGCAGAATCCTCACATTAGTTCCCTAACCTGTCATGTGAGGGCTATTATGGGTGGAAAGGCCAAATGGAAGCCATTAGACTTGCCCTTGCCTGGTAAAATAGTGAAGCAGGGGCCAGGGAGATGGCTCAGTAGGATAAGCGCTTGACTGGCAAATGCAAGGATCTGAGTTCAATCCCCGGTTCCGCAAAAAAAAAAAATAGTGAAGCAAAAGCAGTATCACATTCCTGGAGGGACTTTAGACATTAGTGCCACCACCCAGGACTTGAAGGATGCAGGGGTGGTGGTCCCCACCACATCGCCATTTAATTCTTGCATTTGGCCTGTGCAGAAGGCAGATGGGTCTTGGAGAATGAGGCAGATTACTGTACACTGAATCAAGCAGTGACTCAAGTGCAGCTGTGGTACCAGCTGTGGTTTCCCTGCTTGAGCAGATTCACACATCTCCTGGCAGTTGGTATGCCGCTGTTGATCTGGCAAATGCCTTCTTCTCCATACCTATCCATAAGGACCATCAGAAACAATTTGCTTTCAGTTGGCAAGGCCAGCAATATGCCTTCACTGTCCTACCACAAGGGTATATTAACTCCAGCCCTGTGTCACAACTTAGTTCGTAGGGATCTTAGTCGCCTTTCTCTTCCTCAAGATATCACACTGGTCCGTTACATTGATGATGTCATGCTGACTGGGTCTGGAGAGCAGGAGGTGGCAACCACCTCGGATTTGTTAGTACAGCATTTGAGAGCCAGGGGATGGGAGATAAATCCCACAAAATTGAAGATCCTTCTACCTCAGTGAAGTTTCTGGGAGTCCAGTAGTGTGGAGCACGTAGAGATATTCCTTCTAAGGTAAAAGATAAGTTGTTGCATCTGACTCCCCCTATGACCAAAAAGGAGGCACAGCACCTAGTGGACCTACTTGGATTTTGGAGACAACACATTCCTCTCTTAGGTATTTTACTCCAACCCACTTACCGAGTGACTCAAAAGCTGCTAATTTTGAGTGGGGCCCAGAACAGGAAAAAGCCCTGCAACAGGTCCAGGCTGATGTCCAGGCTGCTCTGCCCCTGGGACCATACGATCCAGCAGATCCAGTGGTACTTGAAGTGTCAGTGGTAGATAGGGATGCTGCTTGGAGTCTCTGGCAGGCCTCCATAGGTGAATCACAGCGGAGGCCTTTATGATTTTGGAGCAAGGCTCTGTCATCATCTCCAGACAACTACTCTCCTTTTGAGATACAGCTCTTGGCCTGTTACTGGGCCTTAGTGGAAACTGAACACTTGACCATGTGACACCAGGTCACCGTGAGACCTGAGTTGCCTGTCATGGCCTGGGTATTATCTGCTCCATCAAGTCATAAGGTTGGATGTGCTCAGCAACAGTCCATCGTTAAATGGAAGTGGTATATTCATGATAGAGTCAGGGCAGGTCCAGAGGGTACAAGTAAACTACATGAGGAAGTTGCCCAGATACGTATGGCTCCTACACCTGCTGTACTGCCTTCTATTACCCAGCATGCATCTATGGCACTGTGGGGTGTACCATATAAGCAGCTGTCGGAGCAAGAGAAGAGTAGGGCCTGGCTATGGATGGCTCTGCACACTATGCAGGCACCACCCACAGTGGACAGCTGCAGTGTTACAGCTCCTTTCTCGGATGTCACTAAAGGACAGTGATCAAGGGAAATCGTCACAGTGGGCAGAACTTCCAGGAGTGCACTAGATAGTACATTTCGCCTATAGAAAAAAGAGGCCAGATGTGCAACTATGTGCTGACTCATGGGCCACTGCCAGTGGTCTGGCTGGTCAGGAACTTGGAAGGAGCACGAGTGGAAAATTGGTGACAAAGATATTTGGGGATATATCCAGCCATAGTGGCATGGATAGAGGGTATGCTTGGGCTCAGCAACGTGGACTCTCACTCACCAACGCTGATCTGGCTACAGCCACTGCTAAATGCCCAATATGCCAGCAACAGAGACCAACACTGAGTCCCCTGATATGGCACCATTCCCCGGGGTGGTCAGCCTGCAACCTGGTAGCAGGTTGATCATACTGGACCACTTCCATCATGGAAGGGACTGCGCTTTGTCCTCACTGGCATAGACATGTATTCTACACACGGATTTGCCTGTTGCACGTAATGCTTCTGCCAAAACTACCATCCCTGGACTTACAGAATGCCTTATCCACTGCCTTGGAATCCCACGCAGCATTGCTTCTGACCAAGGGAACACATTTTATAGCCAAAGAAGTGAAGCAGTGGGCTCGTGCTCATGGAATTCACTGGTCTCATCATGTTCCTCACCATCCAGAAGCAGCTGGATTGAAGGAAAGGTGGAATGGTCTTTTGCAGACACAGTTACAGTGCCAGCTAGGTGACAGTAGTTTGGAAGACTGGGATAAGGTACTTCAAAAGGCTGTGTATGCTTTGAATCAGCGTCCTCTGTATGGTACTGATCCTACAGCCAGGATCGATGGGTCCAGAACAAGGGGTGGGGCTAGGAATGGTACCATTCACCATTATCCCTATAGATCCACTAGCAAAATTTTTGCTTCCTTTCCCCACAACCTTATGTTCTGCTGGACTAGAAAATCCTAGTCCCAGAGGGGGGAAGGCTTGTGCCTGGAAGCACAGTAATGATACCAGTGAACTGGAAGCTAACATTTCCCCCTGGACACGTTGGTTTCCTCATGCCTCTGAAGAAAGCTGCAAGCAGAGATCAAAGCCAGCTCCAGAGAAAAGCCATGGGAGCTGCCAGCAGAAGTGCCACAGGGGTGGAGCCATGTAAGACTTTCGGAGCTCGCAACTCATTACAGATTGCACTGGACATTCCACATGGAACTACAGGACTTAATATTTGCCCTTCTGGATTTTGGACTTGTTTTGATCCCAGTAGTTTGTATCCTCCTTTGTATACCTTTTGGAATGGTGGTGACTTTGAATGCTGGAAGTGTTTAACTTTTCATTTCTACAGAGTCTCTTAGCTAAGAGTGTGCCTTAAATCTTGGTGATGTGGGACTCTGGACATTTCAGCAATGCTGAAACTGTCAGGACTGTGGCAACTCTTGTAGACAGACTAGACTAAAATGCCTTTTGCATAAAGGGATGTGTATGAGTCTTTGGGGGGCCATGTTATGCTTCTCATGCAATATAATGTTGGTAGACTTAATAGTGATTCATACGGATTATTAAAGTGTTATAATGTCCCAGTTGTGACATGTTAATAAACATGTCTTTGTATCTGGAGACTAGTTTAAAGAAGTATATGGGTAGCTGCCAAGTTGACAAGGGGTGGATTGTGGTGGTTGATACACTGTGTCAACTTGAGATGGAAGCTTCTCTGGATTTGCTTGGTGATTCCATGACCTGGGGCATGAGGCCCCACCCTAGCGTAAGGAGGGCCACCCCAGAGTGACTCAGCACAAAAAGGGGATATAAAGGGGTTGAAGAAGGCTTCTGTGCATCCCACTTGCTTGAAGAAATCCAACATATAAATACAGAGCAAAATAAAAGGCAGACAATGGAAAGGAGGAAACAGATCTCTTACAGATGGGAAGGGACAAAGAGATGGGGGGGCAGGGGAAGGAAGCAGATGAAATGACAAGTGCTATGTGTACACAGACTCCCGCAGGGATGTAATCATGATGCACCGTGAACAAGGACTAATAAAAAATAGCGTGTGAAGAAAAGCAGAGACCAAAAACACCACAAACTGGCAGTGATACATAAAGAGAAATTTATTTCACACTGTTCCAGATGCTGGAAAGTCTAAGATCAAAGGGCTAGTAGATTCTATGCCTGGTAATGGCCTCTTCCACATAACGAACTTTCTAACTGCATCCTTAGATGAAAAGACTAACTAGCTTCCTGAATGAA